ATATATTATTGTTATAAAAACTAAAAATAGAAAATCTTGTGTAACCCATGGTGAAAATAGCAAAAAGTCATGATGAAAATAGCAATTCTCTTTAAAAAAATACAAATTCTAATTATTATAATAATTAACATCATATAAAAAGAATTATATTTGATAATATAACAATATTTTATATTATAACTTATAATTTTTTCTTTTAAAAATATCAATTCAATCTTAAATTTAAATAATATTTTTATGTTTAATAAATTTCATAAGAAAGAAACTAATATGATTAAAACTTATAATTTATATAGTTTACATTAATAATGTATCTTATATAATGCAACATTAAAACATTTAAGATTATTTATTTATTTATTTTTTGTATTAAAATCCTGTCTTTAAGAAATGATTTTTATTTAAGTTTATAACATTTAAGATTATTATTTTAATGAAAATAGATATTAAAAAAAAAATTTTGTTTATTTATACTTATATTTACTATAAAACTATTGGGATTTAAAATTTGGAATTGGAATTTGAGACAAATTTTATTACATTTGAAATGAGATTTGAACTTTAAAATTTGTAACAATTTTATTATATTTGGAATTTGAGATTTGGATAAAAACTTGAAATTTTTAATTTTGTCAACATGTATATTTATACTCATTATAAAACGCACCTATGGTGTTTTGTACCTATTATATGTTTTGATTATAATTTTTAAATTTTCTAAGTTTTTAAATTTTATTATAGAAAATTTTGATTTAAATTTTTCATGTTAAGAATAGTTTTTAAGCTAGTATTAGAGTTTTCAGAGGCGTATGTAGAACATTTTTACTTGGAACACATCGTACTGATAAATTAGTCAGTTTTGAGATAATGCATGCATAGGTGTAAAACATCATAGGTGAAATTCAACAATATAAATTTGATTGGTTTATTTTTATCTACTCGACACGGATGTTAATTTTTACATAAATTACAATATGTGACAATTAAGCACTATGCTGCATAGTGCCCATCTTTACATGTGATAGCTATAGTAACGCAGATGCACTTGATACGTATAAAAACGTGATATGATAATCTTATCGTTATCAAAAGTATCGGTATCTCAACTTTACTGTTAAATTAATGGCGAGGTTAAGTTCAAAAGCACAGAAACCAACTCCATATGTCCGTAGACTGAGATTGTAATATTATGACCAAACTTTTAAGCTTTTTTTAAAAAAAGTTTTTATCTAAAATTTGAAATTAAATTTTTTTTTTTAATCAAAAAAAAAAACAGAAGTTGGACTTTGATCATAGTCGGCATTCCAGTCTTTGTATCATCTAGTTTTGTGCTTTATAAGCGAAGTATGTATTTACTAAAAGCTATTGTTTTAATTTGAACTTTAATTATTAAAACTTTTTAATTGTTTACAAAATTAAATAGTTTTTTTAGATCAAAAAAAACCGATGCCAGTAAAGCATTCTACTCAAGAATTAATTAAAGAATTAGAGTCTACAAAAAAAGAGTCAAAAGATGCCTAGTAGTATAAATGAGAAATGTGTAAAATTCATTAGCAATATATAAAGGAGTTGCGCAACCAAAATCCAGGGTCGGAATAATATGGAACTGAAAAATTTTTCCTAACACTAAAATTACCCAAAATTTTATTAATAAAGCAGATGCTAATTTTTTGTTCTACGTATAACGACTAGGAAATCAGAATCTGTACGTATGGATCCGAAGCTGATATTTACAGGTAGGACCGTCCCAAATATGGAAAATATATCACATGTAGATTAGCCAATCAAATCATAAATTTTTAGAAAGTTCAAAATTAAACAAAATTAAAATATGGAGGATCCTTCACACATATAAAAATTGTTACAATACAACCATTTTTATTATAATTTTTTTATACGTATGTTGCGACGTTTCCTCCTGTTACTAAATTGTGCCTTCATTAATAGATAATTTGTTTAACTAATCTATTATCGTAATTAACTAAATCACCATAGCTTTTATACAGTATTTGAAGTATTCAACTATGATACCTAATCTAGAACTTAAATATCTCGTATAATCTCTTATTAGCGTCACTCTTCAATTAAAAAAAACTTTCAACGCCTTCAACATTGGTATGCGTATAAATACACTATAGATTTCTCTACATACTTAAGTTTTTATAACCTAAAAAAAAAAAAAAAATTCGCGTTACCTTTGCTAAATCGTCACTCTAAACGGATTAACTTCTTTTTTTTTGCACAACGAACGAAATTTTGGCGAAGTAGTTTTTTAAATTTCCTATAACTTTGGTGAGAATATCGTACTATGAAAGTTGGTGGATCAAGATGGATTAAGTGAATATATGGTGACCCCCGTTTTTACGGGTCATATGATGATCGACAAAATGACTTAATATTCGTTAAAATTATAATTAGTATCAGGTTAGTTTTAGAATTAGGACTATAAAGAGGTATAGTAAAATTGTTCAAGGAATTTTTTTTTGTTAGAGCATAAAAACCGGTTTCTTATGCAAAATTTTGAAATAAAGGAGATTTTTGACAAAGCGAACGTTTGTTTTAAATTTTCCTGATCGTGTAACATTACACCAAATTATGGCTAATTTGTTGTCGATCATCATATGACCCGTATAAAAGGTTTACTTAGTGCACACTTTACCTCCTTTACCAAAGGAGTTAAAGTACCCGAGTTTCTGATTGAATGGTCCGTGTAACATTGACGGTCCTACTGTAACTTATTTATAAAGTACTTTTGAGAATGTAACGTTTCACTAATAAAAAAACATCATAAAGAAAAAAAATAATCAACAGGCCTACCGAAAAATTAATTAAAATTAATTTTTGTTATACGTCATACAATTAAAATCAATTAAAATTATCATGAAATTAATTGAAACCCAATTAGTGACGAAATAATTGCAATTAATTGCAATTAATTACATAGTTGCGATGAATCATTATATGTGACAAATAATGATTTACTAATTAAACGTATTAGTGAACTCTTATTCGTCACGTAAATAATTCATCACACCAAAAATTGTAATTAATTGACTCATTGTGACTGCGCCGTCAATCAATTAATTGAGTTCAAAATATTGCAATTAATTGCCCGCACAATCAATTATTCGGTAGGCCTGATAATCAACATTCTCAAAATTTTCACTATTTATTACTAAGTGAAAATAGTCAGAAAAAAAGAACGATCAAGACGTTTAATGTAAATTTAGATTTGAAAAAAAACTTACAATCTGTTAACTTATTGTATTTAAGTTTAAATTACTTTTAATAATTATAATACTTATTTATAGAGTGTTGCTATTTTCACCCTTATTTTTGCTAATGTCACTTCTCAAAATACATAAAAGTGCTTCAGAAAAGATATTATTATTAAGTAAATCTTTTTTTGATATTAATTAAAGTTGTTTATTAGACCTTTCCGGTTCTAATGATTGTAAAATTATTAAAATCAAACCAGTAGTTCTTTTTTAAAAGTGGATTAAAGATTATAAAATTTAGGTATAAATATTTTAAGAACCACTGGTCCGATCTTAATGATTTTATCACCATTAGAACCGGAAGACCTAATAAACAATTTTAATTAATACCAAAAAAAAGGTTTACTTAATAATTATATCTCTTCCGGAACACTTTTTGTATTTAGAAGAGTGGCATTAGCAAAAATAGGAGGTTGCAATATGGCTTTACAATAGTATAGATAGAAACGTGTAGTATTAATTAATAATATAAATGAAAAGGAGTGGTACAACGACTGTAATAACTGAAAAATAAGATTATTTAAGAATTTATATAAATAAATAATCGAATCTCTTGAAAGCTTTTCTTTGACGGATACAAACGTGAGTAATAACTAGAAGAATTTATTAAGTAGGATATTGCCTAATTGATAATATATTTTAAAAGTAGTAGCGTCTCTAACAAAGGCAGTAATAATTAAAATATGATTTCTAATCGGTTATGTAATTAAATATAATTAATAAAGGATAGGATATAAGTTTCGCTAGTATGTAGTATAAAGTTTTGTGAATTCGTGTAATCTGATTGGCTAATTATCACAGAAATCACGGGTAGATCTATAAAACTTAGCCAATTAGGTGAATGTCTTCCTATGACTAGTCGTGCGGACCCGCATTAGTTTCTTTGATTTGATTGGCTAATCATCTGGTGATGTCACGTGATGAGAAAAATCGAACCTTAATATCATACGTTTTGTGGCTTGGAATTGAATTTTCTATTTTTCAGCAAGAGGTACGTCATGTGTAGCAAATAGTAGCCTGTCCTTCACATGATACTTAAAAAGATCAGATGTTACATATAAAATTCATTTGTCCTAATTAAGAAATATTTAACAGATTTACAAATATATGGGTCAGTCCGTACCGTTATAAGTATTCGGGCTCTTTTGATCAAACTTTGATAATTCATTCTTGAGCAGATGCTCTACCTTTAGTGCAAGTCTTGTCACATAATTTCATATAACGATTTATTACAATTCCCGTTCAAAGATTTTAATATCTTAATCTACTTTAACTATTGAAATTGATTGAACATCGATATTTCAATTTAAGGGATTTTACCCGAATACTCAAAGTTACGGACTGACCCATATAACGAACAATAATTTTGCTGTACCTTTTTTTAAAAAAAAAGAAATGGGAAAAAAATATTTAGTAGCACTCGACGGCTCAGAGAATTCTAACTATGCTCTTTCGTGGGCTCTTGAAAATTTGGTTGATCTAAATAATGGCGTATTATTATTATTAAGTATTGGCATCTTATCTTGGAGTGCGCCGTTTGAATATTCAGCGGTTACACGTAAGTTTCATGCATCCGAACCGTTTGATTTGAGATAAATTTATTATGATTTAGTCTCTGTACATATATAAATCTAAATTTTAGGAAACATCCTAAACGGAGAGAATGAGAAACAACTAAGAAAAAAACAGGCATGTATTTATATTTCGTTCTATTTAATTGAATGTTCAAGGAATTTACGCCGGGAATTTGTTAGGTGGAACAAGAAGCAGAAAACATTGTAAATAGTGGAAAAAAATTGGTTGATGACTTTCTTGCAACTAAAAAAATAGAGGTGAGTGTCTGAATCATAGAGCCTGTTCGTTTTTTTATACTAAACTTATTTTAATTATATACTTTATATGCTTTTCTCCAGCTTCCTCTGGAATTACACTTTAATTCTAGTACCGATCCCCCAAACTGTATCGTTGATTTCATAAGGGAACATCATATTGACGTCCTCGTTTTGGGGAATAAAGGGAATATTTCTCGGCATTGTCTTAGTTTTGCTGAGTGTACGGTTGTAATTGTTCGAAAAAAAATAGAATCACACAAGGTCGAAAAAAAATAGTATCACACAAGATCAAAAAGATAGAATCGCGCAAGGTCAATGTAAAATATTAAAACATCACGTGCCAAAACCTTATGATAATCTCGCTTTTAAATCAACATTATTTAACAAAAAAAAAAAAAAAATCAAATGCTCGTAAATATACAATTTAAAGAAACGAACCGAAAATATCATCATGAAATGACATTAGAAATCTAAGTTGTCAAAAATCCTCGACCACGCAATAATTGTTTTTCGCGAATCATTTCTAATACATGTGACATTCCTTTCCTACTCTAATAATTTTAGAAATTTATCAATGTATTGTTTTATTAATATTTATTATTTTGACAAATAAAAATATTGATTTTACCTTTGTGGCGCTATCTGCAAATTTTTTTATTCCAAAACCTTCAACTCGATCCGTTAATCCCCATCCAAAATTACTAATTACCCTGGCTTCAGTTTTAACTTGAGTGAATTCGCGATTATTAGGGTCAACTCTAAAAGTTTGCCACTCTTCAACTTGCATTAGACGTGCGTGTGTTATATTTTTCGTAAGTGTAATCATCGTTTGGGTCTTTGGATTAATCAGCGATTCTTCAATAATATATGCTTCAGGTTTTTTAATTAACTACAAATATGATATATAATACAACAGTAAAAAAAAAAAGGGTATAGTAATAAAATAAAAAAAAACTATGGCAATTATATGAAAGCTTCTTAATCCTCATCCATAAATTATTTTACTCACCCCCCTTCCCCATTTTGGCAAAACACCTCGTTTCAAGATTAATCTTGTAGTTCTTAATACACCAGTGTTCGGATCAACATACCTATCTATCACATCAACGCTTTCAACGTGTGAGGCAAAAGGATTAGGATATCGTAACCAAAAAGCTAAAGTCACGCTATCCCAGTTATATCTACAAGTAATTCAAATCTGAAGTTAGGCATTACGAATATTAAAAGTACTATAAACATCTAATAAACAATTAAACTTACTCGTATTTAAATGTATGTTGAAAGATCTTGACCATTATAATTTAGAATTTCTAAAGTATTAAGTGAACGTATTTTCTAGAATTAGGACAGTTACTTTCGTTCTTTTCAAGATAATTCACGCGAGGCTGTATTATTGAAGTTATTCATAATATGCTCTATTTTTTCTGTTATTGTATTTAAAGATGCCGGTGAAATTAATTTCACCAATTCACTCCAATTTCACCAATAGTGGTGAAATTTCTCACTATTTTTATTTCACCAGCATCTTTGATTCTATTTATCGAATTGATGCACAAAAGTCATAACTAAAGAATCTAATGACGTAAATGAGTAGCAATACCATTCACGTACGTACAGATTTCTTTTTTTTTATCGCAGAGAGTAATATTCCTTTGCCGCCATTTCAAGTATTTATATTTAATAGATCTAATTGCCATCTATCCGATGTAGTTTAAATTACACAAAGATTATAAAATTATTAGAATGATCGCGTGGGATAACACAATCGATAAACTTTTGTGCGTACAACTGATTTGGAAGAATTTTCTGATTATCTATGGTCATATTCTTAAAATAGATGTGTTACTAGGATTTCTATAGTTTAGTCGATAATTCAACCCCTAGCATTTTATAGGACAACTTTCGTCTGATTGGCTGATCCGAATCAATTGCCGGGTAACTAATTTATACAGTTTAAAGTACTTTTTAAAATTGCAACGTTTTACCATTTTGCTTATAAAAAATACTTTTTTTTTTTTTTTATAATTTGCTTCAGAAGAGCGTTTCCGTTCACTGTGTAAAGTAATTCTGAAATAATTTTAAAAACGAAGAGCTTTACTTAGAAGTGAAGATGATTAAGTATATTATTACATTTGCCAAAAGCAAAAATAGTCAAAATGCATTATTTTAGCTGATATTTTATTATTTCAATGCTTTGCTTTGCATTCTTCAAAGAAGAATTATGTTTTTTTTTTATCTTTTTTTATTATTCTGTAAGTTCTTAAACATCTTTAGAATCTGACATATTTTTTAAAGATTAAAGTTATTGTTTTGCAAAGATTATTAGACAGTATATATTTCTTATATGTTACCAAACTTATAAGATAACTTATGTTTTAGGTCTGTTTTGGGTTTCTGGTTTTGCAATATAAGATCTACTATCTTTTTTGGTCTGTAGTTCTTTAATTTTATATGACCTATTAACTAAATTATTTGTATATTTCAAAGTTTTTAATTTTATTAATACATATTTTTAAATCAGATTCTTTTAATGTTAATATTATTTGTTAACAAATTATATCTTATTTGGTTGATTTTGACCTTGTAATTATATATATATATATATATATCTTTTAAGCAATTATGTTAGTACTTTATTAAGATTTTGAAATTTTTTTTTTTTGCTTATACTAAGACTATAGTTATTGGCAGTTATTGTTTTTATTGTATTTTAATTATGATTACATAACTTGTACAAGATGAATATACAACTAGTTACATGTACAACTTTTGGTTGTCTATTTTAAGTAGTTCATCTGCACAACAGATTCTATACTAGCTGTTATACCTGCAATCTACTAAAAGATTATTTATTTAAATTCTCTAATCTCTATACTTACATCAACAAATAGTATACAAGTTTTTGTATATCTAAGTGCTGTCTAACTTAACTGTGACTTTTCTATCTGTATATTTGTCAAGTCATTACATATTTCAGAATATGTTATCTGATTGTAAGATTTCAGAAGGTTTTTTTGCTAACTAACTATCTATATTTAGTCTCTTGTTAACAGAATTCACTCTTGCAGAATTCATCTAGACCTTAACACTAACTTTACAGCATATCTTTAATACTTATAGTATATCTTTGTTTCCGATCTCAAACTTTCAATTCAGATAGCCTAGTAGGATTATAATCTGTTTTTGATACTCCAGTGTTTGCTTTTTAAAATCTTTTTCTTTTGTTTAAGACTTCTGGTAATCTGGTTGGTAGTACTTCTTATCTAAGATTTTTGCTTGCCTGATTCCTTTATATTAGTATTTATTTTCTAGGTTTAGTTTTTACAATAGTACTGTTAAAGATTTGTGCTACTTCTCTATTCAGGTCTTTTCAAGTGAGTTTCAGTTTCTTAGTTCACAGATTTATACAATCATAAGGACTTATCTTGAGTTTGTACTACCTAATGCTAGTTTGCATTACTTTGTATAACTTTAATATTGTGTAGATGTTTCATGACCTGTCAGTCATTTGGTGCAACTGTGTTACAGGTATTAATCCCAACTGATTGATAGAATACTATTACTATAATACTGTTTAACTTCTATAATACTAATATAACATAGATGGTTTTTCAAATTTTCACTATCAATAAGTTTTAAACTTTCAACCTATCACTTGAAAGGTTGACAATTTATCTACTTTACTAAGTTACTATACTTCAAGATTTTGAAATTATATTTGTAATTATATAAATATTCTTAATAACTAAGTTTAGTATTATTTAATTATCTTTTTTTTTTTTTTTAAATATTAAGGTGAGTACTTGCGACCCAGGATTTTATTGATAGTATATTTGGCTAATGGTTGCATTACAACCACAGAGAGCATTATTTAATTATCTTAATAATATCTAAGTATAACTTGTTGTATTATTTTAAACAAAAGTAAGCTATTTGTCTAACTACTTAAAATCAATAATGAAAGAGTTTTCTTTTTTTTATAACAAGCTTTAATATTGGTTTCATAGTTTTTTTTTTTTAGTTTAAAGTGGCAATCTTACTTATATATTTTTTTATTAGTAATATATAATTATATTATATATATAATAGTCTATTAACAAAAGTACAACTAGCAATATATATAACTTTAGTTATTATCTAATTAAGAGTTTCATTCATAAGTTACTCACTAGATATCATATTTAAGAGCTGTTTCTGAGCCTTTTATTTAAACTTTCTGATTTTTAATACTATTTATATATATATGCAATATTTTACATTATCATTATAATGATATATTAGGTTAGAGTTATCTAATTACTATTTATATCAAAGTACCACCTTATTGGATATTACTAAGTATCTGTAGTTCTTTGAATTTACTTTTAATAAAAACTTATTAAATATAATATTATAATAGAATTTATTTTATTTTTTTTTAATCTTAAGCAGTTATGCTAGTACTTTATTAAGATTCTTAAAACTATATACCTATACAATTATATAGAATTTCTAAACATCTAAGTCTAGCATCACTCGACCATCCTAATGGTACCTAAATACAACCTGTCATACTATCTCAGTTAGAAATAAACTGCTTGTTTAACTACTTAAAGCCATATTAGAAAGATCTTCTCTCTTCTGTGACAAATATATTTATTGTTTTTAAAGCTTCTTTCTTTATTTAGTTTGCTTTTTCTATTTTCTTTTCTTTTTCTTCTTTTTTCACTTGTTTATTTTTCTTTACTCTCTTCTTTGTTTGCTCTCTTGCATAGTTATCTTTTTTTATTTTATTTATTATATTGATCTTTTTCTCTCAGGCTTGTATTTTTTCATATTATACTCTTCATACTTAGTTATAAAAGGTGTTCTATACTTTTTTATTATTATATTTATATACTTTTATATTGTTTGCTTATAAGTCACTCAAGCCTTTTTTCTATTTTTATTATTATAAGTCTCTTTATTAGCACTTTTTTGTTTGTAATTTCTTTAGCTTCTGTTTCTTCAAATAATGTCTTATATAGAACTTGTAATGAAATTTTGTTTTTTTTTTTTTTTTAAGTCCATTCTATGTTATTGCTGTTGCAACTTTTTGAATCTGCTTCTATAAACTTTTTGGTCCACTACAACTTACTAAATGTGCCTAAGTCTTTTTTTTTCAACTTGGCATACTTGGCACTTTGCTGTTATATATACTTCTAGTCTTCTTCTGTTTAGCTCTTAAGTGTTGATAAGCCATCCATTATGCACTTGATTGCTATAGCCCTTCTTGTACTGAGGTTTCTTAATAAACATAAACTCTTTTTGTTTTGTTTATTTTTTTTTAAAAACTTGACCAATTATGTAGTATATTTTTTGTTTCTAGTTCTAATATTTGTATTGGGTTTGTATCTCTTCAAATAGCTCCTATTCTGATATTTACTATTATTTTATACAGAAGTCTTGTCAATATGTCAATTTTCTTGTTTTTTTACTCTAAATAATACTTTATTCCATCATATTTGACTTTATCTGCATATATTTTATTCTGGCAATTTGCTTTTTTTTTTGCAAAAAAAGTCTGCTCTGTTATTCTACTTATTTTTATTATAATTTTTAACTTTAATTATTTTATTTTAATATTCTTGCTTATGATTAGGCCTACAATACTCATTATTCATATTACATTTTCTTCTTCAGAGTTCTTTTCTCTTCTACATTTTGAAGTACTCTATTAATGTTTCTTAATGCTGCAATGCTGTCTGTAAAAATTTTTACACTTTTTTCTTCTGATACTGTTAGGATTGCTGTTCATATTGCTGCTAATTCTGTTATTATTACTGAAGGCCAACCTTTAAGCCCCAATGTGGTTTTTTTTTTTGGCCAATCTTTTTTTTTTCTACTTGTACTCAACCAATACTCATTTTTTCTGTATTGTTTTTTTTTTTCTTTTTATATAATGCTCTATTAATATAAAAACTGTATTTTGATATAGGTGTGGCGACCTAGTGAAGTGGTCAGGTTGTCAACCCTCCAAGTGGTAGGTTGGGTGTTCAAATCCCATCGAC